ACTAGCTTTGACACCACTTTTACCTCGCTGAACAGTCGGGGAAGTACCCTAGTGATCGAAGTTTGCCTTAGGGTCGCTGACTGGTCTCTCAGGCTGAGTGATGGAGGCCTTAGCTAAAGCGCAATATTTTTTTTCTCCTTTCTTCAATCATATGTTGTCTCATAATAATCACTGCATCATATTTAGTTAATTTTATCTGCCATAGTCAATTTAAATGTTTTCTTCAGCCAGGCTGACATGTTAACAGAAGCCTTGTTTTTGTTTTGTTTTACTAAAATAAAAACTACATAATTGTTATTCACAGGATGGTGAGTCAGACGCAGTAAACTATGTAGCACTGAATTTCTCCTCAAGAAATCGAGTGAAGAAGAAGATGAAAGAGTCACCACAGGAGTGTGTGTACTCTGCTGTGAGACCATATAATCACACATTGTCTCAAACATCTTAGTAGGCAGAGCAGGATTTGCAAGGAAAAGACAGCCTATATTTCTTTATGGTGGTTATTTTTAATCAAATATTTGGTTGTTAATTTTTATTATATTTGAAGTTAATCCTACGACAAATTTCAGCACGTGAGTTGTTGAAAACATTACATTACACATTTTTATGCTGTTAATGCTGTGTTAGCTTATAATAAAGTGGCTTTTGTAAAATTAATTGTACAACCTAAAATGCATTCCTATAAATGGCTAAATACAACTTGACCTTACACTACAGCAGTAGTAATAACATCATTTCACTCAGCAACTCAGTACTGTATCAGTATTGCATTTTTTTGTGTAACTGTGGACGATCAATGAAGTGATTGAGGTCTGTCATGTAGCAAGCATTAATGTGCATATCAACAACTGATAGCTGCGGCTGCTTCGTCAAATTTTGGGTGAGATGTTTTTGTGTTTTATGATGTTACATGGTTATAGTCCTTTTAGTGCCATCTACAGGCTGTAATGCTCCTGACCCGTAATATACTATATTGGAGTTAATTAAAATTCACACCTCACACTTCTGGCCAAATATAACATTAGTACAACCTTATCAAAAACAATTTGGAAAAAGTGACATTAACTTTTAACCTTTATTTTACCTACACACATACTATCGAAGCTTCCTATGTGGGGTTTAACTTTCTTATAGCAGCCAGATGATGCAAGAGACCTGTAAGTTTCGTTTCATTTGGTACATTTTCCTGTTCAGCCTGATGAATCAGCAACATAACTTGGTGTTGTACAATTAACAATAAAAACAACCAAAATACCAAACTGGGACTTTAATCACATGTTAAATTTGCCACTTGTAAGTCAGATGATTTCTAGGCAAAATAAATGTGACAAAAAGTATCAGAATGAGAACAGATGAAGAAAGACAAAGTGCTGCAACAAAAAACCTCATTATGATTGCTTTGGTTCCTAGCACAGTTGTCTCTAGTTTTTTCCATTTATCTGCAAACACTTGCTAGCTACTAGCCAAGTGACAGAAATACTTGAAAAAGTGTGATACATACTGTAATGGAGAAGTTTCACCTCTCAATATAAAGGTTTTGCCTCAAAGCTGCAGCCAACATGTTGCAAAATCTCAATTTTTACTGTGAGCACAAATGGGAATTATTTTACCACAAACTGCCATCAACCCTCAGAAGGCACTTGCAACAGGTCTGTTACAACAGGTAGTACCCAGTGGATTGTTCATCGTCAACTATGACTGTCATTCATCCTAAATGAATGTCTTGTGGTTAGTGGTCACAAACCTCAATTACAAGTTTCAAAAAACCATCAAAATAATGAATCAAGATTTATAAGTGGGCTCACATTTACATTATTTTCTGGATGCAGTGACTTTGTATATTACAAAACACAAACATGGAGTGATGGATGCATCAAGGGCAATGATGAGTCGAGCCACATTCATAAGAGCATTTACCTAAAACATTAATAATTAGCTGATGGCAAGTACTTCCAGTGTCGGTTAATCCATTCCAAGAGCCTTGACGGCTGCATAGATCCTTTCTCGCTCCAATGCTTTTGTATTTCTTTTTCTAGCACTGTCAGTTTTTATCGTTGTAAATATGACAGCAGAGTAAATGCATGTGTCCTTTTCTCTCTGGAGAAATGTGGGGGGAAATGAAACGGTCAGTGTTATAACAAAGAATAATTACTTATTTTTGATAAGTTTACCTTACCTTCACGTTTCTTTTTTCAATACTTTCTTGCAGGGAATTAGAAGCTAGAAAAGAATAAAAAGTAATTTATCAAAATTAATATTAAATTAGCATTTGTGACAGTAATTGTGACAGATATATGACATAAGTAATATTACCATTGCAGTCACACTTGTTATGCTTGATGATATAAATAAGAATACCAATTGCCATCACACTTATGACCAACACAGCACACAGCAGCAGAAGAATTGTATTGTCTTTCAATAAACCACCAAAGGTCCCCAAGCTGGTTTCTGACAGAAGAAAATAAAATAATTAATTACACTTTTTTAACTTCTAATTAAGAGCAACAGTATCATCAGCATGTGTCAAACTCACCTCTAATATTGAGTTTTGTTCCATTCCCAAAAATAACTTCCCCACAAATGACCAGAGCACAATAATAAGTCTCAGTATCTGAGGAGGTGATGTTCTTAGAGAGTCGATACACACAGCTTTTTGAAGACGAGGTTGACTCAGGTTTCTTGTTACATTCATCGGATCCTTTACCATCAGTGTAAATGATGTTTGCCAAAGATTTATCTGATCCAGCACCAAACCAGTGGACACTGTGTTCATCAGGACAAGAACTGTTGCCAGAACTAGAGATGACCGAACACTGGAGAGTCACTGAGTCTCCTGGCTGAACTGGATCACTTCCTGCCGGCAACTGAACAACAGTGTAGTTTGACTGAGTGTTTTCTATAAAAAATGATAATAATATGGAACTTGAAAAAGGGCTGCAAAGGGTTAAAGTCTATAAAGAATGTACTGAAGGTTAAAAAAAAAACCAAAACAATGAAAAGACATCATTACCATTCAGAGACAAGTAGGTTGCATTCCAATGATCTTTACTCCAGGTGGAGGCTGCACAATGATAGAGTGCTTCATCTTCTCGGACAGTTGAAAAAATGGTCAGCATGCTCATTACTTGTGTGCTGTTTGCATCAAATCGTGACTGAGGAAAGCCTCGTTCAAATGTTGGCTTTTCAGTAGCTTTCATCAACGTTGTAATTAGTTTAAGGCTGCCACCAATGTTCTGTTTGTACCACTTGACTCGTGTGTTACTATATTCCAAATCAGGGAACCAACATGTGAAGGTCACTGAGTTGCCAAGTTGACATTTAGTCACTGAGAGTAGAGCAGCTGTAGGAAAGCACAACAGATATGTAAATTATATAAATGCAATTAGATAAGAATCATAATATTGTAGATTTGGGAAAGAAAAATAGAAGAAAAAAATCTGTACATGCATATACATCATCAATCTTATGAAACAGCATATCCAGAGGCAAAGCGTAAGTGCATTACTTGCAACTGGAAAGCAAATTGAATTATTTTACTACAAAAAATGACAAACTGCACTGTCCTAAAATAAATAAATAAACGCTAAAATGGGACATAGGTAGATTGCACTTACATCCTTGACGAAGCAGAGTCAGTATAATCCATAAATGCAACATCTTGATGCTTTTTGTGATGTGGGCTTTGGTTTTTAAGTGAGTGATGCAAGATTGATGTGATAGTCCCGACTGTCAAAAGAAGCCACTTGGTAGCTGCTTTCATTTCCTGCATTGTGCAACATGCCTTTGGAGGTTTTTGTGGTTTGCTCAAACAGGTCAAACTTCAGCATAAATATTTTAATAATCTAATATGTTCATAAACATATATGGCATAATAATAATTATGTAAACAGAGAATATAGCTTAAGTGAAAAAGCTGAGGTGACAGGTAAAATATTCAGTCAACAGTTCTGAGGAGTTGTGATCCTGCAGAAATTTACAGATAAATAAAGTAATGAATTTGTTGCCTTTATTAGGCTAAAGGATCAGTATGCTCACATTCACAATTTAAATAACGCTTCTGTGCAAAAGGTAGAGGTCATTTGCTGTATTAACTGTTTTCAAATATCAACTCTAAAGTGACTTGCTTGTTGCATCTGATGAAAATCAATTAAAGGTATTAAGGTATTTATTTTTTATACACATATACATTATTTGTAACTGTAAATCAGTGCATCATTTTTTTCTGGAGCACTGGGTTTTGCACAATTGTTCTGTAAAGTTTTGTTACTCTTTTTAACTTGTATCACGTTTGATTTTCATTTTTGATTTCCTGAGAAATAGGGAAATACCCACCCACGTACTGATCATAGTAGCCTTTTATGAAAAAAAATTGCGTTCTCCACTGTTAGTCCTGTGGTTGAACCAAATGTGCCTTCTTAACACATACACACATACATGCTGTAAGTAAACCGAAACTTTACAGTCTCTGTATCACTTGTTTTGAGGACTATAGTTTAACAGCTTTCTCCAGTCCACAAGTGTTAACGCTGTAGAATACTTTTTTTCTCTTACGGTTTTCTTACTGAAGGAAGTCTGCCTCACAGCAGTTCAATTTCCATTCAGTTCTATTAACATAGTGTCAAATCAAAACAGTTGCCTCTATTTGCTTTACATTAAAGGCCTGACAGTAATACAGAGAAAACACCAAAGACCAGACAATCACCTATGAGCAAGCACTTGGTGGCAATGCTAGAGAAAATCTCCCTTTTAACAAGATGAAACTTTCAGCAGAACCATGCTTAGGGTGGGGCATCCATCCTCCATGATTGGTTGGATGTGAGGAGAGGAATGGAGAAAAAAAAGGAGTAGGAATGTCTATATAAGTGTATGACAAACAGAACAGCCTGTTTGTCATTTATTTTAAATTATGTTCCACTTCAGAATAATGTTGAACAGTAAGTAATTTTGCTTTAGAGCGGGGCTGTCTTCTGATTGACATGTTGCTTATTATAGTTTATTGTGTCGTGTCCCTCACTTTCTCAATCAGATTAACAGCTGGAAATCAAAAACAAGAAAATACTAACAGTCAAAATTGAAGTTAAAGCTTCAGAACAAGATTTGATAAACCAGTGAGTGATTTGATAATGGTTATGTGCATCTTCTGAAAGCAGATACTTCTGAATACAGCAGCTAATTCCATTTTATTGCTATTTTATCTCTATCTTGATACAACAAATCACTTTGAAGATAGTAGCTGACTACACATGCTGGCAGACCTGGAACCCATCTTTGAAGCAACCATTTCAAAGGCATTGAGACTTCAAGTTAATTGCACATGGCGGCCACAGTCATTTTGGTCATTCCACAGTTTTGTAGTGTGACTGTAGCATAACTAGCAAAATGACAAGAGTATGTTAATAAGGAGTCATAGAGACAAAAATAGTGAACTAATGAAAAAATTTATTAAAACATTCTCAAAAGCTTAACAAAATCAGGATAAACACAATGCAATAGCCCTTAGCTAATTCATTACGTAATATTTTTTTGTGCCAGGTTTCAAGTAACAATAAAAACGTATTTTGATAAATGCAAACAACAGCAACGAAAGATTATTTCATTATTATTGCTTTAAAAAAATCACCAAATTAAGAAAAAAACACTTTCCAGCTGAGCTCAAGCGTAAATAAAATTGTTCTATTGTTAATTACATAAATAATCAGTTCTATAAATCTATATAAACAGTTTTTTTCCATGTCCAAAATAAAATTTACTGCTAACAAAAACAACAAAAAGCTTAATTAGTTTCGACTGGCTGCAGGTTTCCCTAACCATATAGCAGTATTCAGTACAGCTGCATAATGATCTGTACTAGCAATAACCATTGGCTATCCCAGAGATCAGTAACCGCTTTGGAAAATTAAAAAAATATTTATGTACTAATTTATTCTCCCTCAGTTATATCTGTCATCTATCCTTGTGTGTCAGAAGTATTGTATAGCTGAAATACATTTTACTCTCAAACCCCAAAACACACCGTGCCAAATACTCGTTTATCCCAATGATTGGGTTCTATAGCACAAATAAAGCGATGTAGTGTACGAGGTTAAGTGCCCAAAAAACTGATGGAAATTATAATGCTTGCTAGTTAGCATCTCAGTAAGAAAAACCCTAGTTAGTCAAAGAGGCCATTTGTTTTAGAAAGGAATGACCATCGATGAGTCAAGCAGGGGGACCTCTTTCACCACCTTACACTGCTGCGATTGCATGTATTAGTTATTGTATTTTATACTTGGTTATACCAACATGTACACACACACACACCACACACACACACACACACTACACACACACACACACACACACACACACTTCTTGCACATGCATACACACACACAAGGTGCTTACACGTGCACACACATACACACATGTGCCTTGTTTTTAGAACCATAGGGGGCTTTTACGAGGGGAGGTGCTTGTGTAAACTGTAAACTGTAACTGTCATGGAAATAAATAGTGCGAGGAGGGCTGCTTGTTGAAGAAGTTGGGTTGGAGAGGGCGAGGAGCATTGAGCTCCCAGAGCCTGGTTCCGACCAGCCTTCCCTTGCTAGCAAGTAAAACCCGGTTCCGTCTTGTTTTTGTCGTTAACGAGAATAAGTCTCTAAACTAGCGAGGCCTGTGGAAGCGCAGACCCAACACATATGACCCCTTATGAGCAAGCACTTTGGCAACAGTGGGAGGGAAAAATTCCCTTTTAAAGGAAAAACCTCAGGCAGACCAGCTGGAGAGGGGCGGCCATCTGCCACGACCGGTTGGTGAGAGAGAAGGAAGACAGGATAAAGACATGCTGTGGAAGAGAGCCAGAGATTAATAACAAGTATGATTTAGTGCAGAGAGGTCTGTTAACACATAGTGAGTGAGAAAGACTGACTGAAGAAATACTCAATGCATCATGGGAATCCTCCGGCAGTCTAGACCTATTGCAGCATAACTAACGGAGGATTCAGGGTCATCCGATCCAGCCCTTTCTACATGCTTT